GATAGTTGAATTGTGCCAAAAAAATTTCTTGAAACCTAGTCTGAGTGGTATTTTGGCGCTGGCATTAAAAATGGATAATATTGGACCCTCGATTTAGGATGCAAGCGTGGAGACCTGTGATCTGTTCTTCTATCAATCTTACTGTAAATCTAATTTTTCTGCCTTTCAGGCTCATAGTCATCTTCGGTCTTCCTCATCGTTCACCCTTTCACTTCATATTCTGGCGACTGTAGTCACGTATGTGGACGATCCGCGATTTTGGATACGAAACGCGAAACCATTTTCTCGACTTGTATCATCAAAGGGTGGAATTACGTCTAGGTATGCATTGATTTTGCGCTTCATCATCAAACGTGACCTCGTCTCTGTTCTCTGATTTAAGCCAGTTACAGTATGCATAAGAAGCTGTACGAGTATTTAACTCCATTCACGGAGCCGTTGCTACAGAACTTGGGGTCAGCTGGCTCGGACGTTGTTGGCCCTCTTATCAAAGGGTGCGTTATTCACTCTTTCACTTCATATTTCTGCCCTCGAAGACTTGTTATAAGGTTGCCTGGGAAGTGGACAAATTCCTTATGCAAGGTGAACAGGCCCACAATGGCGAAGGGTTCCGTTTCTAGCAGATAAAAGTGCGTGATAATGGCTTGCCTCCTCCTGTTGGTTTTCGCTCTTTCTTCGATACGCTGACGTGGTGCGCATTTCTCGGTTGCGCCGTCTCATCTTTTCTTGATTGAGGACGGTGAGGCAGCATTCAGACTTTGTGACGCGGGTCGACGCGCAGCGGCGCGCTGTAACGCGCGTAGGTCCGCTAGCATTAGAGCGCAATTGCAGTGCTACAGACGGAAACGTAGCCATAGATGAGTGTCGATCAGCGCCGACTGGTACTGCTTTGAGAGTACGGTAGAATGGGATTGTGCAAGTGACACGTTGAATGTTCAATGGGCTAGTACGCAGCCCATTGCAACGCGTCGACGTGAGTTTAGAATCAAATTGAAGCTGACTCCACCAAAGCTCACGAAACTCAGTGAGGGGGTGCAGTTGAGGAGTGAGTGACCTTTTGACGTATCTTATTCGAGGCGGAGAAATGAAGCCTCTGGCTTCACTGCCGCGCTTTTTTAAATAAAAAAAATTTGTTCACTTCGCGGCTGTGGACCTGCCTGCTTTGTTCAGAAAAGATCCAAGTGAGCGCGTAGTGTGTCTTTAGTTTACCTGTCGCCGCCTTTACTTGTGATTGCCATTTTCAGAATGAAAGCCGCGTTTGAACGAAGAATGGAGCTTACACCGATTCTTAGCACAAATGTTCGCGTGTTAGAGGCTGTGGTGAGCCTTGTTTTGACTATGGCGCTATCTGCCTTGGGAGGAGCCAAGTTAGACTTTTTGCGTCAACGCATAGCGCTCAGACTCTGAAAGCACTAGGCTCTTAGGTAATGCTCACAAATGCAGGATTTTGGCAGCATGTGCTGCTAGCAAGCCCTTGCTTCACGACCGGCTGGTTTGCTTATAGGAAGAAAGTGAGCGAAACCGCCATAGACAGTGCTTTGAGCTTTTGACCAACAGACCAGTCCCTCCCAAGGCAAATAGCGTTCAGCCTATTTTTAGATCATGAGCTGAAGTAAGGTCTAGTTCGGATTTCTACTAGTTCCCTTTAGTTAGTGAATGCCAACAGTACAACTCGTTTGGAACTATTTCACACTATGGAACAAGATGGATCATTGGACTCCTTGACTCAATGGTCCTTCGTGAGTTGCTCTTCCTACCTCCTTCTTCTTGAGCATACTCTTAATTTGTTAGACAGTCATATTCTAGGGACTCGCTCAAAATCGCCATAGCGTATGGCAGGCAGGTGAGCCGTCATCAAGTGAGGCAGCAAAACGTTTCCACGTATTTGCGTTTCCGGTGCTGCGCATATTTGCCTCGTATATCAAAACTTGTAACGAACTTATTGGCGGTGCGCACAAGGTGAGTCCTCTGTTTTAAATATTTTTTATTCCAGGCTTTCTTAAAGACAAACTGTATTCTCACCTCTGTGGATCGTGGTCTCTGCTATATGTGAGGTGACTGGGTCCGCAGCAGTTGCAGCGTGCCACTTCCTTCGGTCGAAAATGCACGGGAACCTGGCTAGAGGGTAGTGTCACCTGGATTCCCACTCCACACCCCGCCACGCCCTGCCGCGCTATCACCCAGGCGCCTAACCATGACCGAACGCGCTGCTTGTCTGCGACCTCTCACCTCTGGTTGGTCTCTACCGCTGAATTCGTGTTTCGTTGCGGGACCTTGGCATCGACGCAAGTGCTGCACCTTGAGAACAGCTCCGGCGGAGCATGGAGGCGACACCCCCCCCCCCCTTTACAGTGCAGTTCTCGGCCACCTTTGAGCGGAGTAGGTGGCACGCTACTTGAGCTGAGGACCGATTTGCTTTGCGCATTGCAAGGACCGTCCTCGGAGGTAGCGCACAGTTTTTCTCTGAACTTTTCTGAGAAACAGGGTTATACTTTCGATTTTATAGCAAATTTAATTTGTACATTTTTAAGAGCGTAACTCCTCACGAACCTGGAGACGCCAAGAATCCAGCTCATCTCAGTCCACGTACAATAGAGGTAATACACTTTTCTTTTATTTGGTTCCAATGAATATAGTGAATGAATATGAGAAATGAGCTCATTTGGGAATCATTTGGAACATCTGAGTCGGGCGCTAACTGACAGAACAGTTACTAGCACACTGACTTGATGCAGTGCAGCTCTGTCACGTCAAATCAAGTGGAGTCCTGGTGCGAATGCCGCGCAAGTGATGCCATTCCCAATGCCTTTTTCGCCGCCTTAGCCGAAAATCTGCACCAGGACTCCACTGATTCGACGAAAATCTGGTGTACAGAAGTGCACCCGAGCTTCACTGTACCTTCGAGGATTGTGTACCATACGCGAGGTGAATGGGTTCACAGCACTAGCTTGCCATTTTCTTCGTTCAAAACTGCAATGGGATGGGGGAGGGGGGTAGTGATACCCGAGAGCCGTCTTCATACTCCCACGCCATTCTCACGGTTGATACAACAGCACACCGCAGCAGAGCGCACGTATTCGTATCCACCAGAAGTGAGATGGGGACAGGTAGCGCGTTTGGCTACGGTTAGGCGTGTGGCTGGCCGTGCGGCAGCCAGGACAGAGTATGGAGACGACACCTCCGTATCACTACCCTTCACCTTCGTTCCCATTGCTTTTTGCGAAAAGCGTGGCATGCTGCTGCAGTCGGGATCACCTCACACATGGAGGGGATCAGGAAACTTTATTATTGTGCAGAAGCAGTCTCCACGAAAAAGAGTGCAGTTTGTATTCGAGCAGAAACTAAAAGATCAACTTGTTCAAAGAGCCCACACCCCTCCAATCTGTAATTTTTTCTTCAAACTAGTGAACACCTTGGTCCACCTGTTTTTACAGTATCGTGGGAAAAATGATATTGCAGTTGCGAACGCTCAGTGACGCGATGATGGACACACTCCTTCTGATGTGGAGTTCGGCTGGTGGAGTTAACGGACAGAGATTTAATCCTGAATGTCAGAAAATCCGCCAGGCTGTTTTTGGACGTCATCACCCCCCATCTTTGTTCCACGAGGTGATATTCCTTTTGTTTGTCCTCTCCTCGCTTTCTTCTTTTTCTTTTGGGTGGTGGGCAAGCCTTATCAGAATACGGTAACCGTGTTTTCCAAGCTCGCTAATTGATAATTCAAGAAGACCCTGACGGCACTTATTCGTCACATGCTGTCTCGCGGACGTAAAAGACCCTCATCTGTTTGCTGCCACCCTCAGTCTCATGCTGAATCTTGCTCCGTGGGCTCCGCCACTAGCGATCACAAAAAGTGAAGTGGTAAGTGCTAAAAGCTTTCTTGCGAAGATCATTTCTCATTTGGGGTTTTCAGCCGTCGTGGAAGGATGTGGTTATTGGGCATCGCCAGCGTGTGAACAGATTCGTCCATGCCTTTTTCGCTTGTGAGGAAAGATATGACTTTGCCGAGGTTTGTTAAGCATATCGTTATAGTCTATCGGACTCATTTGGAGCATCATAAACAATCTAGCTGATAATAAGGAATCGCTTGCTTTGAATCCATCCGTTCAACTTCTAGTTTTCGTATGGAGAAGCCTGAGTAGTTCATTTCTTTCAGATTCTCCTTTCATCATCCCCATACATTGCTGAATTGTCGTTGAAGTTCGTCGATCGGATGTGTCGCCTTGATCGGAGACTTGCTCAAGATCTGGCAGGGTTCGTTGCAAGAGTTTTAATAAGAATTCGGAGTCTTTAAAGGCAGTGGCTGAGGCACGATAATCCTACAAGACTAAGCAGCGAGCTAATAAACGCCTGGCAGGACGGAATTCCGCGACCCTGAGCAGGCGCTGCATAATGCCTTTTCCAGGGAAGGTGCCCTTATAAGGGCGCTATCAAGCCACAACTTTACGTCCCCAAACACCCGCCACGCCCGCCCGCCACAAATGGACGACTGTTTTCAGACGCTCTAGTCGATTCATTTGCTAAGCAAAATTATGAAAGCGAAGGATTGGTATGAAGCGGCCGTGATGCTGCATGGATATATGAGTACACATATGCAGCCGTACCTTCGGTAGCGGTTATTGGCAAGATGCCTACGGGAAACTCGTCCAAAATTGATTACTGACACAGGTGAGAACGAGGATTTTGCTTCGCAGGATTTTTGACCCGTTTCAAAACTCCGTTTTCTTTCGCCATTTCCGCCACTATATATAGCGCCTTAGCTAGATTTCAGGCCGAGCACCAAATCCATCGTGCCAACTGGCCAGTTAAACGTAATAATGGTCGTCATTAGTGGGTTTTTTGGGGGCGAATGTGATTTTTTATTTTACTGACGTAAATTAGTAACTCCCCTCTCAGGTCTTTGAACAGTACTTGTAGAAGGCGTAGAAGTGGATACAGCGGGATGTGTTCAAAGGTTGGGCCTAGCGGAGACCGCGCTTTGGCATTGCCACCAAGGCTGCGTTCATACTTTACGGCAGCGTCACTAGCGTCCAGCAGCGTCAGCGACTGGGGAACGATAGATGTCGATCTATCATCTGCCAGCGTCTACCGGCGTGTCCCGTCGTTCGATAGCGTCTACCAGCGTCCCGATGGCCTGCGAAGCTCGATCTAACGTCTGCCAGCGTGCACCAGCATTTACTGGCGTCCGGGAGAGGAGAGTATGGCGCGATAGGAAGGTAGCAGACAGCTGGTTACCCTTCTGTCGCACGCACCATGCTCTAGCAGCTGTCTGTTATCCTCCTATCGCGCCTTACTCTCCTCTCCCGGGCTCTGTCACGCTGGCAGACGCTGGCAGAAGCTAGATCAATATCTATGCTTTCCCAGTCGCTGGCGCTGCCCGCTCGAAACGCTAGTGGACGCTTCCGCAAACTATGAACGCAGCCCAGTAGTGGCATTTCCCGCTACTGTTGGTACCCTATTGTTTGCTGTGGATGTTGGGGTGTTTCAGGCGGCTGGGTTTGGTCTGGTGCCAGTCGAAACTCCAGCAGTTGTTGGAGAGCGCAAGCGACATCAACTGGTGGAAAAAGAGCTGGCGTCGCATCAATCCCAGCCTCCTGAAAGGCCAACTGTCAGCTGCAACAAAACACTAGCAAACGCGGCCACCCCCAGCGACACGCCCAGTTTTGTGCACTACACGTTCCGTGCGCCAACATCATCAGAAATTCTACATATAAAGAATTTCAAAGAAAGACTGCCAGTTGACCGCTTTGGTAAAGGAAAGAGAGTTCAGTGATTGGAATTCCCTTTAGAGCCTCTGCTCCCGCACTGATCTTTGAGAGATGTCTCTTCTCTTTTTTTCTCTTCGAGCATCTGTCGATCCTGACCTTGAAATCGTTTATTTCAGTAGCTTGGTGAATTACATCGCTGCTTCGCTCAAACTGAGACCTCATCCGAAGAGTAAGGAGAGTTCTGGAACAGAAGGCGGCTCTGTGAATGGCGACGATCCGCCGAAGGAAAACGAGGTTTTCATCCAGTATTTGTTCTTTCATCGATCAGATACAATTTCGTAGGCTGCAGATCCTGGGAAGTGTCAGGGCGCCGAGTTTGGCGTGGCGCCAGCCAGCTTTCCAGAAATTGTTGCCGCATTGAATAACTGCCACCACTAGCTGGTGCCGCGATCCAGCTCCCTGACACATCCCAGCATCCACAGCGAACAAGACTGTATATTACATGTTGTCTAGGAACATCGCCCTGCATCATCCGGCATGGTTCGGTTACTGGAATCACTTGTGCATTTATGTACTGTCAAACAGTTCCGCATGGTTCTATACGAATTTCTCAGGTAATTAGTGTTCGTGTGTCTTCTTTTTATCACATTTGTGAGTCTACTTATTACGTAAACTTTATTTATTATTACTGCATTTACTCTTAGGTGGTGGGAAATTAGCAAAAACTAGAGGACAAATTTAGAGCAAACTTTTAGATTCTGAGCAAGCCAAAACTAATGCGCTGCTTGGCTTGGGGAGCATTTTGTAGTACGGCACTTCCTCTGGGTTCACGTCAAGAACAGAAGATCTCCGCTGCGACTGTGAGCTATTTTGGTCAAGGAAAGTACGGGTCCTTACAAGGTAGCTCGTACATCTGTTGAGAACCATTCAGTGCTCCCCACCAAGCCGAACTTCTCGGAAAGTAGTACTAATTATTGAAAGCACACCCCGCGATTGTGTACTGTAGACAATGGCGTTCGATTAGAAACCTGTAGTTAAATATCTCATTAGGGAAAAAAAGGCAAAAACTCATGGATAACACCCTAAGTGAGGCCTCCCCGGCAGCCTGACTGTACGAGTTCACCGGACCTGCTCGTTTCTATGCCAGCAAATCGATATCCTATCGCCTCTGTCTCATTAATCGTTTCTTCGCGTAACAGTTTAAAAAACGAAAAACGCAGGTGAAAACTGAACCCGTGACAGAAAATAGCCTTTGAGCTTGTGATGGGCGGGACAAGCTAGGGAGGCGTCAGAACTGCCGCTTGAGAGGGCCGCAGCGCCTTTGTTGCTTACTCTAAGGCCGTAGAAGTAGGGTAATCTCAGAGTCTGGAGACCAGCCTATTTGTACTTGTGGAGGGATGCTAAGGGAAACTGCCTTTGATCTGAACATTTTCAAAAGAAAGTAGTACTGCTTATCAAAGTTCTATATTGGATGTAACTGCGCAGATTTCTAACATATGCACTGAATTTGATTGAGAATATCCTAAAGGAATGTTTTTAATTTCAGTCATTACCCAAATCGTGCCAAGTTTTTGACGCCAATGCTAATACAGTTCGAGAGGCCAACATTTGAGAGTGAGCGTCAGTCGCGTTTTCCAAACCGCAGTGTTGGTCAGTGGATTTATCAAAAATAATCTTCGAAATTATTCTCATATTCATGCAATTTTTTCTGCTCAGGATTTGCTATCCGATTTATGTTATCCTTCGCTGTGGAGCACTGAAGCAGACTTGGAGTTTTCTGATTGTGAAGGATGTCCTCCTATAGACTCAATTGAAGAACCCCCTACGAACGGAATTTTTGTGGGGAGTAAGAAGGAGGAAAAAACGGAAGAACCGGCTCGCCCTCCATCTGTGGAAATCATTGAGGGTCTGCAGAGTTTGCCAGCAAAAATTACTTTCTGAAGTGTTTACATATGTAACACTGACATTTAGTGAAACTATTTTTTTTATGTGCAAACACGTATTTTCAGAAGAGGGTGCTGATGATACGGTAACTGCTTTGGAATTAGTTGAAGATACTGATGATGATCGCCGTGAGTTGTGTTCTCCTTGAAAATGTTTATTTGGAAAATTATCTGAGAGTGACCTATTCAGAATCGTCGAGTACATTGGAGGCCGTTATGTCGTCGCTTGTGTGGCTTTTGTGAACGCCCCCTGATCAGAAGGTTCTAAATAGTTCGCAGGCTCTTGCGATACTTCCGTCGAAGGTCACCTCTCTCCGCGGTCGACGGAGGAGCAGAACGAACCTTTCCTTGAAGTGGTACGTGATTTTCTCAGTTTCTTCGTTTTCAAATGGCCAGCGACCCGTTGAAGGAAGCTGGAACCAGTTTTTTTTTCATTCTTCAAATGGCCAGCGACCTGTTGAGATGGGTTCGTAATCGCGCCGCAGGGTCTCAGGATATCTGTCAACCGCGGAGTCCTCGTCCCCTTTCCTATTTTCTTCCTCCTCTGTTCCCCTTCCTTCTCTCCTCACACTTCCGTATTTCCCTCTCCTCACATTCTAGGTCATAAAATTTGATGATACAATGCCTCCGGACCCTGGCAGCGAGCGAACATCTAGTTGAGAGCAACCTAATCGCAGGGACGCTGTCCATTTCGCGGCTTGAAAACGGTAAGTCAAGGTGTATGAATCTAGTTTATCAAGGAAGACTCCGCCCACTTGGCGTCCGTTACCCTGAAATGAACACCAAAGGCGAATGCGATTATGACTGTTGTGTCGCTCATTGCTCTGCTCTCTCGCCCATCGTCCCACATCCCAGTACATTCTGTACATGCCCGTGCAAAGCCCAAAATAAATTACGAAAAAGGAGCTTCTATTTAGTGTTCTCTTAAGTTTCAGAAATCACCTATACGAAGTGAAAGGACTGATATGACATTGGCGGCGCTGTTTGGCTTGGGAGGGGAATCTTGCACTTTCGCAATCTCCTTTTACTGTTCCTGTTAAATTTGTTCTGCTTGTTCTGTTCCTGTCTTACCCTGGTGAAACGCTTGTCAAGTGTAAACAAAGCTCCTGCTATTGCACAGCTTCATGGGGATCCACAGGTCTCTACGAGAGGCGTCGGCAGTGATCAGTGGGACCAGCGATCCCCGCCACCAAGCCGAACTGCGCC